CGAAGGCATGACTGTAGAACTAGACCAGAGTATGTTCGGGCGGCGAAAGTACCATCGCAGGTATTTAAGGCTTGGTCAGTGGGTTTTCGGTGGTATGGAGCGTGGCAGCGGGTGCTGCTTTCTTGTTCCCGTGGAGACCTGTGACGCTAAAACTTTGTAAGGGCTAATAGCCGAGTGGGTCCGCCCTGGAACAAGAATAATCACTGACTGTTGGGCTGGCTATCGCACGCTTGCAGGTGACGCTCGCTTCACGCACCTCACCGTCAACCGCTGGTGGGCACACTGGTGGGCACACCAATACGGTGGAGGGCACTCTCTTCCATCTGGAGGGCGTGAGAGCCACCATTTCACTGGTCACCTTGCAAAGTTCATGTTTTGGAGGAGAGAGAAGGCGAGCGGAAACACTGGTAGATTCCAGTCGTTCGTCGCCGCGGCCGCCAAAATCTACAGCCCCGACGCACACATGGGGCTTCCCTATAGTGCGGAGGACGAGGACTCTGACTGCCCGGGTGACTTCGAGTGATCCGCTGCGCTGAGCCCGTCGCCCGCCTGCGTGCATAAAGACGACTTATGCGCCAACCGCTTGTCTAGTGCTCGTTACGTCAATTATAGATTGTGGTAGCGGCTAAATGGCCCTCGTCAGGGCTCCCATATTTTGCAAACGGAGCTGTTTCCTGAACGCGGCACCCCGTGTCTCTGTAAAACGTTCACAGGAAAGATCCAGGAAAGGTATGTGGTCCCCAACTTGGATATTGCGCGTTATGATTCAAATAAAAATTGTTCTTGCTTATTTCGCGCCTTTGATCCCAATAAATGCCGCCGATGCAGTCGTCCCGCGGTGCTGTTGCTTGCTCAATCGCCATCGGCGTGTCTCAGCTTCGTCGTCTTTGCCAGCGGCGCACCAGCGAAGGCGGCCGATCTGACACACCCAGTGTACACACCGCGTTCGGCTTTGGCTAGCAGACGGCGTTCGAAAAATGGCGTCAGCTGTTGCCGGCTTCACGCGGCGGTACTGTGCGTGCTTCCATTCATTCGGCCTTCGTTGCCATGGTGACGGCGAGGAAAGCAGACGAACTTTATGTTGCGGAAGAACGCTGCGGCGCAGTGATACCAGGTGCGCCCTTCCCACATGCTTTTCAATATGCGGAAGGCGAACAAAAAGAGCTCGAAATAGGACTTAACGCAGAATGCTGCATTTCTCCGGCGCCTCATAATTTGACGAGCCTTGCACGAAAAGCAAGAAAACTATCTCCAAACTCCGGTCTAAAGGACCGGAGTTGGGAGATAGTTTTCTTTTACAACAACATGGGTCTACTAAACTATCAATGTGCCGGATTTTTTTTTTTTCCATTTAATGGTTTGAAGTTTAGCTGGGGAAGTATTCGTTTCATGCATTCGCGTTGAGTTGGGTACTTAGCGCATGCGGACAATATATGGTCTACCTCCTCTTTGCATTTGCATGTGGTGCACATTGGAGTGTTACTTCTGCCAAGAAGAAAATTATAGCTGCCAGTGTAAACCACCCCGAGTCGTAGCCTTTGGTACAAAGATTCGAGTTTTCCAGGTCAATTCTGGATTTACTGAATGTAATTTGCTATTTGGATACCTGGAATGGGGGCAATACCTGATACCTGGAATGGAATGGAATGGAACGTGCTACTGCTAGTGCTAAAGCGCCTACATCCTGGGAAAAGTGGCACCATTCATTGTTGTGGCACGTGCCGCGCGCCACTGTTGGGAAGAACATGGCATCTGAAATCTAGCTCAGTGCTGTGCTGTGCCGCCTAGTGCCACTAAATAAGCTACGCTTCAGAGTAACGACACTTGGCCATATTGTGTCGTAAAATCATGGTTGCCAGTTATCTGAATCTTTATCTGAAATCACAGAAAACGCCTTTCCGCCCTCCACAACTGTTTAAATAGTTCGTGACAGAGCAAAGCAATATTGCGTGACCTTCCTAACACCGAATCTAATGCTGAGGAAGTCGCACTTCTGAATCATGACGATCAGCAGTTGCGTCTGCTCTGCATACGAGCCAAAATGGCGGCGCCCACAACAATGCCGGGGAACGGAGTGCCGATACTCTAAGCGCAGCTCATTTAGTGGCTCTAGTGCCGCCATGATCTTCCCAAGGGCTGCACGTTGCATGCGCCTCGTGCATTGACGCACCTTGCGCTACTTTTGAAGCATTAAGTGGCTTTAGCGAGTTCTAGGTAGTGCAGCCTGCTGGCGCCATGCTATGGTATAGGTGTTCTCGAGAAACAGATATCAGCGGCCACGCGCCGTGCAAACCATGCGCTAAAAAAAAAAAAAAGAAATTAGGTTGTGTGCAGGCACGTAGCCAGGATTTTGTTTCGGGGGGGGGGGGGGGGGGGGGGGGGCATGACAAAATGCTGTATGAGGGGGAGGGGGGAGAGGAGGTCCCAGCAAAATGGAAGATTTCGGGGAGGGGGGGGCCGGGACCCATGCCCCCCACCTGGCTACGTGCGTGGTTGTGTGTATATTTATAGGAAGTATTCATTGGCGTCCATAGCTGGGTGTGCGCGACTGCTGAGCGCGTGCTGATGGCTAGCCTTCAGGGTTCTTTCGCAACGTGCATTCCACACCGTCAAAATGGCCGGTCTTATACCAGCCTATTAATGGGGGCTCGTTCAGCACCCACAAATATGGCGCCCAGTGAATACTCCTTATAGGCGCTTTCAGGCAGCTGTGCATGGGCGCCGCCATAACTGACCTTCAGTTTTTGTTCCACTTCATCATTACCACAGCAGGACCGGTTATTGCCATTTTAAGTGTTACTGTGACCTTCTCCCCAGCCTAGGCCCTTGTGGAGGCTCGTCAACGCCCGCTTCAGTGGCTCGGCATCATGGCGGCTCAATCTGGCGCGCGCTGAAAGCGTCTATACAGCCTAGAACCAGTCACACAGACCCGTTTTTTTACGTTACGTTGCGAAAAGTCACCGGGAAATCTGTGCTTCGTATTAAGCGTGGCTACCAATTCAAGCAGATGGCTAGCCTGGCACGCTACATTCGAGACACGAATCTTTCGGGGACGACGAGCTAGGACGGTGAGTTAATGTGGCAACCTAGGACACGAGGCTTCTCGTAACGTAACGGAAGGAGTTGAGCTCGGTTCAAGTTTTCACACCGCACCGTTTTCTTGCGTTACGTCGGAGTCACCGAAACATTCGTGTCTCGAATGTCGCGTGCCAGGCTATCTCCTTGAATTGGCATCTATACGCTTAATTCGAAGCACAGATTTCCCGGTGACTTTCCGTAACGTAACGTAAAAACACGGGTCTGTGCGAACGAGCCCTGCCTCAACGGGCGACTTGTCTCCCAGCTCTAAGCGAACAATTTAGCCAGTGCAGACAGCCGCTAGGCTGGGGTCTTTAGCGTTCACCACGCAGTAGCGATACACGACCACACGCCGGTACGATGCTCATCTAGACTGAAACAGCCAGGGGTGTGGATCTAACTAGCGCACATGAAGGCACCCTAGATCGAACCCAGGATCTCTGGGTTTTGCAGCGCGAGCTTTCGCTCCACGTGCTCCGAGGTGGCGTGCGCTAGCCCGCACGGCCACCGATCCCCCTGTGGGCAGGTCAGGATTACAAGGGGAAAACAGGTGCCCAACTGGCTTTCACTTCTTCCGATCCTGCATTATGAGTTATCATCCATCGAAACAGCGCAAAGACCGGAGCAGCTAATAAAAATTACGAATCAACAGAGATCAACTAACCTTTCTCTATTCTGATGATGACAACAATGAAGCATTGAAGATGCAAGCTTTATGCTGCCGGTTCACACTTGAAAGCGTGCTTTGAGGCTATTCCCTTCGTTTCCGTTTTTGCTTTAGATCTAAGTGCCACATGTGGAGATTAGAGAACTGACTCGGGCTCGCTTTTTCTGTTGAACAGCCGAGCGTTTAAACAGGTCGGAGCAGACGGCGCGAAAAATTTTAGAGGCCATGATTAAAAATCCATGGTTCCGCGCGTTTACACAACAATGGCTGTCGGTACCTGCAAGGAACGCGAAGAGTAAATTTTATCAAGGGCTCTACAGGTCGTCTACG